GATTAGTTTTTCTCTTGTATCTCAGTAAATAAGTATGTATGTATATGTATATATATGATATCAAAATATATGTGAGATATGTGATATTTACATGTGTATTTATTATATAGATGTTGTTCGTCTTTTGCTTTCAGAGGACCAGCACATCAGTTGGCTTTAGCAGAGTTGTACAAAGCCTCATTCTCTCTTCCAGAGTCATTGAAGTCCAGTGGCAGAACAAAATTTAGGATAACTGAAGGTGGCCCGGAATGCAGTGGATGACCTTGGTGTCTTCAATGTCTGATCAAGCTCTAAGTGCTGTGCTTTAGCCTGCCCATTCCACCAGAGGAAGTCTTCACGTACTTGGGGTAGACATCCCCTAACTCAAAGATAGGTTTGAGGCCTGTCAGTTACCCTCAACCTGGTTTAGATTTTCTGCTGAGACGATTTTATGGGGATAAGGTCGCTGTGCATGCTACAGCTTCTTGGAGCCAGAGGTGAGAGTTGGGTGACAGGTGGACACCAAAAGTGGATGAGCAGCCCTAAAAAGGGCTTGGCAGGCCCTCATACCAGAGGTGCTTGCCCTTCCTGAATACCCGATGTACTCCATATAAATATCACCTGTGGCCCAGAAGACCTCTTTCCACAAGAAGCCTCTGTACTCATACAGGGCCTGAATTCTTCTGGTGTGACCTGACATTTAAGAGTTGATCTAACTTTTCTCTGACTCTGTAGCTTATTATAACCATACCCCAGAATTCCAAGGAAAATTTCTACATAAAACTCACGTATGACTCATGTCATAAAAGGGATTAATAAGGCCCCTTATAGAAAGAGTGTTCAGTTGTTTGAAGTTCAAAGTGTGGACACACACACACACATTTTGAACAACTGAAAAATTTTACATATATACATATATATTCATATCAGATATAGGACAGCTGTTTATTTCTTATACCATAAAATAAGTGCTTAAAACATAAAAGACTCATAAGCATGCATTAATACTTAAGACATAAAATAAAACATCATTATAATCTCTCCAAAAGGTAAAAGGAGACTGTTGAACAAATATTTCACTTTCATCTCTGACCTACATAATTTTCACAACTCACACATTTGGATCTTTTGGCCAGTTGGGGAGCCTTAGGCTTACTTGGTCCTTTCTACTCTAGCATTTTCTTATTTATTTCTCATGGTGGGGGTGCATCTTTTCCTCTGGAACTCTTGCCCTGTCAAACTCATGAAACAGCTTCCAAGGTGGAGAAACATCCTCATGTTAGCATCTTGATTTAGTAATTATACTTAAAGTGAAAAGAAATATTCGTATTTTGTTAACCCTTTATGAAATGTGAAGTTCTTAGTCAAACTCAATGTAATTAGAAGATAATTTGATATTGATTGACCAAGTTTTAGCCAAGTCCCTCCGTGACTCTATAAAAAACAAAATATACTAAGGAAAAAATTGATAATCAAAGCAGGGGATAGCTTCAAGAAGCATGACTTTTGTGAGTCAAGAAGAGAGCCAGCCTGATTGTTGTGCATTGAGCTAAGGAAACTGACCTCATGAACCCAACTTTGAGCAACCCGCTTAGCAGAAATACCATGCCCAGGGGTAGCAGCATGAGTATATCACAAGAAGGGAAAGGACATCAGGACCCTTCAGGGCCAGAGGTGTTAGCTGCCTTGTATTCTCTAATTCTGCCTCTGTACTAGTGTACATCCTATGTATGTACCCTTTCTTCCTACTAATGTTGTGTATAGTTGTAGAGGAGTATAACCTAAGTGTATAGGGCAAATGTTTTATTTACTATTATTCTTATAATGACTGTCATTGTAGTAAATATGTTTGCTGCGAGGTAATCACATTTACTGGCAGACTGTTGAAGGTGAGCATACCAATGGGGGCTCATGAGCTATATAGTGTTGAAAGTGCAAACCCACAGTACACTTTGAATCTTGAAATAATCACTTCCTGGGGATTTTGGGGGGGAAGTGATAGCCCAGAGAGAACAATATATGTGTGTATATACATATGCCATGGAGACACACATAAGAATGTGTGTATGTGTACATATATATATATATGTGTGTGTATGTATATGTGTATATATATACATATACCATATGTATACATGTATATATGCATACCTTACATATATGTATAGACATACATACATACATATACATATATATGTATGTATGTATGTGTGTGTATATATAACCCCAAACTGGTTAATTAAATTTTTTTTCTTTTCAGTCTTTGGGTTTTCAAGTAAATTTTGTGTACCTTATTGTGGTTGACTTAAAATGTTTTAATTATAATGTTCCTTTTTTAACCACATTGTAATTTAATTTTAATAATTGCATCACTATGGCACTAAATAATAAGCAAAATGTAAGTATAAAACTTTCTAAGAAAGTAAAATGAAAGGGTACATCATGTAACTATAAGAAAGTGTGACCTATCAAATGCAAATTGGCCTACATTAGAAGCTTATTTAACCAATCATTCAGACAATGAGTGTAACGGAGTTTTACTTTAAAAGGCAGAACCAGCCTCCCCAGCAGCAATAACAGTGTAGCAATGTTAGGTAGAACAGATCTCGAAAGTTACTGAAGATTTTGTAGACTCTTTGCCAATTTGGAAATATATCACCTGGCCTAGGATATGTGGATAAGTGTGGTTATTCATACTCTCATCTTTATATTTCATTCACTGTCATTATCTGCCCTTGCCCAATACTTAGCTAATTACACTTTAGGATAATTAGTTTAATGAAAGTGTGAGAAGTACACAGTATGAACTTCAGTGATATTGTCATGATTACTACATGTAGGATTAATAAGAATTAAGGAACCATTAAATGAGATTACTTTATATTCAAAGAACTAAAAGCAGTTGATAATATACTACAGGATCTCAAGAAATGCCATTCTCCTTTGTGCCCTGGAACCTTCCTTCGTACCATGTTGGGAACCCATGGAGAAATATTAGTTTTTGAAGACAAGTAGGACAGTAGGTCATACAATGCAATTATTAGGCTTGATGCTTTTTGGAGTCATCAAACATAAATGAAACATTATAGAAAAGGGGGTGTGGTGGGAAATGAGGTGATATTGCTTTAGCTGAGTAAGAAAGCTTCCAAGGGGAGAATACAGACACTTGTCTGGCAAATTTCTGTTTAATGAAAGGGAAATATTAAAATAGAACCTGGACCTGAATGCATTTGTGCTATATGCAAGAATGTAAATAAATCATTCTGAAAGTGTTTGCTGAGCAACCGCCATACAGAGAACTGTTACACTGAGAGAGAAAGAACGGAATAAGAAACATGGTCACTGCTGTTGGCAGTATCTTTGCCATCTGTCCCTCTCTTTCATACTGCCATGATCTTAGATCAGGCCCTCACCACTTCCAGCCTGGACTAGTGTTTGTTATGGACACTTAAGTGGCCTTCCTGCCTTCGGTCTTTTCTCTCTCCATCCCATGCTTTCACACAGATGTCAGAATAATATTTCTCATTCACAGGTCTGTGCATGTCATTTCTTTGATTTAACAAAACAAAAACAAAACTAGAACAGCTCACCATTTCCCCTAGGATAAAGTGGAAGCTCCTTCATCTGGCATTTAAAACCTTCCATAATCTGGAAAGTCTTAAACCTTCCATAACCTTTCATAAGCTTACCTTTCCTGCCTAATTTCACATTACTTCCTGTCACACACTTTACATTCTAGCCAAATGGGAATAGTGGCTGTTAAATGAGCTTCTCCTGCATTCTTTAAGCTCCATGAAATCAGACCAGCTGGTCTGAACAACTGGAACAAATTCTCTCCCCGTCTTTGTTTGTTGAAGTCTTTTTCTTCCTTCAAGACCCTTCAAGATAGTGTTGCCTCCTCCGTGGTGCCTCTCATGATTTCCCCAATTGAAAGTGTTCTTTCTCTTTTCAGATTTTCAGAGTCTGATCTCTCATTTGCCCTATCATGTTTTACCTTGTATCGTACTTGTTGGTGGAACTGTCATATCCCTTCATTCCTTATCTCCCCCCTCCTTCATTAAACTCTTAAGTTTTCTCGTCTGAAAATGGGGATGATAAAAAAAAGGCTACCTTAATATTGTTGTGAGGATCAAATGAGACAATGGATGTAAAGTGCTTGCAAATCTTAAATTGCTATGTAAATGTCATTTTATTATTATGATTTTTAGATAAAAGGGTTTTGCAGTAGTCCATATATGAACGGATAAGATCCTGAGCAAATGCAATGGGAATCCTGACTTTAACCTCATTAAATCATGTGTAGACTATTAAATTAGTTAATACTGTTAGGACTAGAAGCTTAGCCAGCAGATCTTCCAGACCTTCCACCACTGCATAGGAAAAGGAGAAAGTAGGACATTGATTGATGGACAGAAAGATTCATGGTCTCCTAGGGAATTTAGCAATCAAAAGTAAAGAAAATTTAAACTAGGTCAAACGATGGCTTCAGTGTAAAACAAGATCAACATTTCTTATTAAAAAAGAGCACCCTGAAAATTATAATTTAAAATTTAGAAATCATCATATACTAGTACCCCATTTGAAATAAATATTTTCTAAATTTTTGAGTAATTTACCTTCCTCTATAGTGAACCCAGAAAACTCTCTGTCATTTGCTCCTGTTAAAACTCTTTTCCTAAGTTACATTTGATCATATGCATATCTAATAAGATTGTGATGAAATGTCTTCATGTTTATGTAATGCATCTTGGAGAATGCCTAGATTACCAAACATGGAGGTGCCCTGCTCCTGGTAAGGGTTCCTACTTCCATCTTGCCTTTTCTTAACACATAGGTGAGAGGAACCTGCTTTGATTGGCTGCATAAACCAGAACAGGTTGTGTCTTTATAACTGGCCAGCCTGGGACAGTCACTCTCTTTCCTGCCTGTTCTTTCTTGCTTTTTTCAGAGGGTGAAGATTACAGTTTATTTGCAGTGCAGGTGCCATGAATCGAACTAGCGAGAAAGGGAAGACTTCCTACCTTTGATCTTCCTCTTAACTCTTGGTTCCAAGGTTCCTCTTGGCCTGGGGTTTGTTTCTGTTCTGTGTTGTTGGATATTTTCAGTTTTCAGTGCCAGCACCAGACTCAGAATGAAGCTATGGCGACCTTGGAGCCAGAATTCTAGGTAAGAGGTTTTAGCCAGCCAGCCCAGCAAGGAAACTCTGAGAAGCCGGGGTGCCTTGGAATTGAGCCCAGGGGAACTTTGGACTTATAACTGGGATTGTACTCTATAGGAACTGAGCTAAGTTATAAATTTAATCTTTTTCTCCCCAAATTATTAGGTAGTGCAAAGGGGGAAGGAGAGTTATTCTCTGTGTTGGGGAGTATTTTTCATTAACTTTTGTAAAGAAAAATATTCTTTAAAGGTATGATCTGTTGGTGTATAAATGGAATTGAGGTACAAGGAACTACTCTCTGCACTTGAAGGGCCACCATCAGTGGGGGCTGGAGACATTGGCAGAGAGCCTAGGCACTCCCCCACATCCCCTAAGTATACCAAAGACCCTGGGGGAGAGGTAACAAACCTGGCCTTCAGGCAGTGGGGACCAGGGTAGTCAGTGTTACACTTACATTAAAACTTTAGTATTTTAAAAAATATTTTAAAACATTCTAGTGTGAGCTTTTGTTTATTCTGTAAGAGAGACCACCCCTTTTTAGAAATCATAGGATATTAAGAAAGAGAATGGATTTTAGATATCATATTAGTCTAAGCCCTTTATGTTGTAGATGAGTAAACAGAGGCCCAGGGAGGGCTTGTTAGCAGCAAAACCAGAACTAGAATCTAGCTCTCCTGACTCCTAGCCCTGTGTTCTTTCCATTTTACTTTCTTGCATCCTGGTATTCTTTGTTCTTGCTTCTAGATATTTATATCTTTTTATAGCTGTATGAAAATAATATCTCATGTTTATGTTGTGCTTTATAATTTACCAGATATTTTCCTTATAACCCTGTGAAGTCAATGATGCATATTTTATTATCCCTATTTTACAGACATACAAATTCAGGCTCAGACAAGTTAAGTGACCTGCCTATAGCTACACAACTTGTTAGTAGCAGTGTAAAAAATCTGAACAGAGCCTTCTGACTTCAACTCCATTGCTATTTTCGTCATCTGGTGCTGCTGCCAAACTTTGGCCTAAACTCTGTGTCCTCAATTATACATAAGATTTAAGTTGATGATTTAGCATGACCACAAGGATTCAGTTCAGTCGTTTCATTTGTGTCCAACTCTTCTTGACTCTATTTAGGGTTTTCTTACACCTGAGGGAACTGAGGCAAACTGAGTTAAACTGATTTGCCCAGGGTCACATAGCTGGTAAGTGTCTGAGGCCAGATTTGAATTCAGGTCTTCTTGATTCCAGGCCTGACACTGTCCACTGCACCACTTAGCTGCCCGATTACAGGGACTATTGTTCATCAAATAATATGTCATTTTGAAGAAGCAGGATGAGGAGTAAAACTAAAAGCAGTTTCCCTAAAAAAATTAATTAGGACTATCCAAACTGCATTTTAAAATTTATACTGAACTGTTTTAATACACAATTCAGCATTTTATTAAAAGCATAATTAAGTAGAAAAACAGACTCTGTCAGTTAAACGTGTCTATGGGAAGCTTAGCTCTTCAGACCATAAGCAAATACCCAAGCTTATCCAAGTTTCAAACAATATTCATGAACTCAAACACTAAACTTGCAAACCCATCTGTATTAGACGACTTCAAATACCACATGGGTTTTCATCAAGTTAATCTTATTAGCAAATACTGACATATATGTGTGTGTGTGTGTGTGTGTATGTGTGTGTGTGTGTGTGTATGTATATATATATAGATATAGATATAGATATATTTCTACTCTTCTTGTATTGTTGTTCAGTTGTTCAGTCATGTTGGACTACTCGTGACCCCATGGACTATGTAGCACACCAGGCCCTTCTGTCCTCCACTGTCTCCTGAACTCTGTCCAAGTTTGTGTTCATTGCTTCCATGACACCATCTATCCATCTCATCCTCTGCCATCCCCTTTTCCTTTTGCCTTCAATCTTTCCCAATAGCAGGGACTTTTCCAATGAGTCCTGTTTTCTCATCATGTGGCCAAAGTATTTAAGCTTAACTTCAGTATTTGACCTTCTAGTGAATATCCTGAATTAATTTCTTTAAGGGTTGACTGATTTGATCTCCTTGTTGTCCAAGGCACTCTCAGAAATCTCCAGCACCACAGCTCAAAAGTGCCAATTCTGTGGTGCTCAGCTTTCCTTATAGTCCAACTCACAAAGCAATACATTGCTATTAGAAAAACCATAGCTTTGACTATAAGGACCTTTGTTGGCAAGGTGACGTCTCTGCCTTTTACTATGCTGTCCAGATTTGCCATAGCTTTCATGTTTCATTACAGAAGATAAAAGATAGTGATTGAACACTAGTAGATTGAAAATAACTGGAAAATGAAGTCCTCAAACAAAGATAAATTATCTATAATAAGTAATCGCAGACAGAAAAGGTGGTAATTTGTAGATCTGTTCCTGGGTAGCCAAAATTCAGAGTATAAAAGCTTGAACTAGATCTAAGTTCTGACCCTATGTAATATCAACTTCTCCATTCTAGTGGTATCTATCTTCCCAGCCCCTGTGACTCAAGTGTGTCTCATTCATTGGATAGGACTGAATTTGGGTAGGTCTTTAGTATACCAGCTGTCACCGCTTTTGTGGCAGTTCTAGTGACATGGAGGAGAAGAGTTGGTTTTCACTGTGGCAGTCCCTAATGCCTCCTTAGATAAGGGATATTAAGCAGAAAGGGGTATAGCTCTGCCTATAATTTTTGACCATTTCTCTGACCCTGCTCAGCAGCTATTTAAAAAAAAATTGGCTTGAATAGAAAAGGCTCCTTTTTAGGGTATTCTCTGCTTTTCACTAATCATAAGACCACAGATTTTAGAGCTAGAAGGAACTATATAGAGCTCATTATGTAAATCCAATTTTTTATAGATAATAATAATAGCAATCCATTTATATAGCACTTTAATGTCTGCAAAGCATTGAACATATGTCATCTCATATGACAAGGTCTTGCTACTAGGAAGTGTCTGAGGCAGGATTTGAACCCAGGTCTCCATGACTCCAAGTATTGTGATCTATCCAGAGTACCATGCTACCTTTAAATGAATGGGGGAGATTTTTTTATCCAGGGTTCAAGCCTTAAGAGTTATAGTAGGGCTTTGCTATGCCATGATGTGGTTTAATAGTGATGTATTAATAATGCTGTTGCGAAATATCATTGGCTAGGACAACTTTGTGTTATGCCCCTACTTGTTTTGATTCCGGTATACTAATAGATTTAGCTACCTAAAACCAGGAAATTCTAGGACAGATGTCAAAAGTCAAAATGGATGAGTCAAATTTAAAAATAAACATTAGAAAAAGGGGGTAAGTTTTACTTGTCTTGATTCAATCAAGAGTCTGGGAAGAGAAAACAGGTTAGAAAATAGGCAGTGATAAATGCTAACTGCAGTTACTTATGCTCCAAACTAATATGTTTACTTCTAGTTCTTAATGATGGGGCTGAAACCCAAGAATTTGATAATGGCACCACCTTAACAGTGTCACCCAGTGAACACATTAGTCTGTCAGCCGCCACTTGCTTTCCTCAGAGCTTTCTCCTCATTCAACATTCCTGTGAAGAATCTCTTCTTTTTTGCATGGTGCAGAGTTTGGAAATATTCAGCTCATAACGAACAACAATAAAACCTCCACAATATCCTTTCCTTCAGGTAAAAGAAAAATAAGGCTGTATTTCTCTCAAGCTACTGTTAGGTGACCTTAGTTGTCTGAAGGGGGAAAAAACAAGCCCTCTTTCTATTTAGGTTAATAAGGTACTTGAGTGAGAGGCACTCTATTGCCAAACCTGACTGGTGATTTCCTTTCTAGATGACCCATTAAAATTGGCTGAAGATAATGAATTCATCTATCATCTATGACTAACTGTATGGTCCCCTTTATGCACTCAGGATAATAGCATTTTAGAATGAAGGGCATTAAAATCATCAGATAAATCTAACAAGACTAGGGAAAGTCATCACATAATGATTGCTCAGAGGCTGTCATTATGCATGTTCAAGCTAGTTGCAAGCTATAGTGAGTCCTGAAATTGGAGGAGAGAACAGAAAAACTTCACTTGTTTCATGAACTTCAGCATTTTTCAGCTACTAGGTGGCCCAACCTTTTTCTTTAAAAATAGATTGAAGAGGACTTTGGCATTGTGGATGCTTTCTAATTTCTACAGTATTTAACCTTGGCATATTTCAGGAAGTTTTTTTGCTCAATTCTGCATGCATTAGTTTACTCTTTTGTTATTGCATTTAAAAAGTTTGTGGATATATTATTGCCCTTGGAAGTAACTAGCATAGTATTAGATACATAGAAGATTCTTCACAGATATATTAAGTAGTTGGTGACTGGTTATACACTAAAATTTTTACTCAGTTGCAGTCCAAACTTACCTAATACTAGAGTGGGACAACTGATAAGCTAAGCCAAAGTAATGTTTACATTAGTGCTAGGCCATATTAAACTGTCTAAAAACAGTTATTAATTAATTATTATTAATTAAATACTGTTAATTAATAGTAATTAATTTTCACAGCAGTGGTAAAAATTTGCAGATTCAAAATAGAGGCTAGATAGTCTTGTTAAAGAATTCACTTAAAATTCCACTGAGGTGAACTTCATTGGATAACCCATCAAAGAGTCATGATTTTGTTGATGTAGGAATTCCTACCATACATTAGTAAATAATCTTTGTGAATCATGTTGGGGCTGAAAAATTCATCATCTGGTGATCTATCTTCTCTGGAGATTTCTTTCTCAACTTACTGAGACTGGTCCTAAGACAACTTATAATAGTCTGGACACATACTCAAAGCCTTTCCACGTTGGTCAAATTTGCCAGAGCTTTCATTCAAATGGCATAACTTTTGAGACTTAAGGGTCCCCTCCATGCTGTGCTGAGGTAGTATAATAAGAGAGCTGAATGAAAGCTGTTTTCAATATTATATATAGTGCTTCAAAGCTTGTAAAACACTTTATTTATGCTGTCTAATTTTATGCTCACAACTTTGTAAGGTAAGTGCTCTTACTATCCCAA